CCTGGCCATCCTGTGAAGGGCTTCATCCTTCCTCTCCGCTTTGTGCCAAGGGAAATAAGCTGCAGCGTGGTGCACAGGACAGTGTACAGGCTCTGGGAACTGCCAGGATGTGTCCCAGCTTCTCTGGGGATGGGCTGGTTTCTCTGGGTGCTGCCTTCACCTCAGCTGGACAAGCCCTGGCACAAGGTGTTTGTGAAGGAGGGGAGGAGGCTGGAAAGGAAGAGGTCATCAAAAAGGAGGAAGAACAAGGGGAGGTGGAGAGGAGAACAGAATAATGTGGAGCCTCTTGTTTTGTGCCACGGTGCCTGGATGGTGGGTGTTGGGGTACCCAGTTCCTGTACACACCTCTGCAATACGGTCCCTGGATCTGTGCTCCAGCTCTGTCCTCTGCGTCGCGGCCCCAGCTCCATGCTAGAGCATGGGGGCCAACGAGGTGATGTTCCATACCGTGCTGCGGTGCCTGGCTTAGTATAAGGGGACTTGTGTTTGTGCTCTGTGTCATGGTATTGGGCCCCAAAACACGTCCCTGTTTCCAACTGATGGGCTCCAGCCCTGGGGGCACAGGGCCTGTCTCGATCTTGCAGGGCTTGGTCTGGAGTAAGATATTACCTGAAAATATGAAGGTATATTCCAGACAGACAGGAACAAGCTCTGCTGTGCTTCAAACCATCTCAAAACTGTGCAGCTGTGTTATTGTGTTGTCTTAGTTTGGGCTGAAATAGAGTTAATATTCCTTTTCAGGGACTAGATGAGTGCTGTGTTTTGGATTTAGCTTTGGGTTTGGTATGGGAAAAATGCTGATAGCACACTGATGTTTTCAGCTGCTACCGAGACTTCAAGGACTCTCCGACTCCCCATGTCCTGCCCGTGCGCAAGGGCACAGGGAGCAGGGAGGGAGCACGGCCAGAGCACCAGACCCAAACTGGCCAGTGAAATATTCCATATCATGGAACCTCATGCTCACTGTATAAAGGAGGGGTGGTTGGGAAGGAGCTCTATTGCTTCTGGGATTGGGATTGTGGGATCTTGGTATCTCGGGGTCGCTGGCCGGGAACGGGCTGGGGATTGGTCAGCGGGTGGTGAGCAATTACGCTGTACATTGCCTGTTTATATATTTCTTTTTGTTTTCCCCCCATCATCGTTATTGTTCTCGTTTTATTGCCATTATTAAACTGTTCTTATCTCAGCCTGCGAGTCTCCCTTCACCCCTCTGATCCCCGCCCCATTCCCAGGTGGGGAGGGGGAAGGGAGGGTGATTAGCTGCTGCATTGTGGTTGGCTGCCAACCAGGCCTAAACCACAACATGTGTCTTGATACCAGGTCTTAGCAACCTTCCTGTCCCAGGACCCTGCCTTGTGCTCATCCCTGTCCTAAAGTGGTCACTTGGCACCTGCTCTGAAAAAGCAAGGTAATATTTGCCTGGAATTGGGACAGATGAAACTATCCTGGTGCATGGTCTGGATGGCTCATGGCACTTGGTGGCCACTGTGGTCTGGGACACACTGAGCACAAGGCACAGTTACTGGATTAACACCAGTGATGGAGAAGCTCCTTGGAGGAGCAGGGGAAGGCCGGGGCACAGTCCTTCCAGTCTCTACCACTGCACACGCAGTCTGGCTCGGGAAGAAAGGGTCACCTTGACTTCCCAAGGCTGGCTGTGGGACTGCACCCACTCCTGCACGTGCTTCAGGCCCTGCGCTGGCCAGGGACCCTCTGACGCCTGCTGGGTGCTGAGCTTCGTCATGGATCAGTCAGGACGTGGTTGAGGTGCATGGCAGGAAACTAACTGGAAAAAAAGCTTTTGGGGATGATTGACAGTAACTGTCTCCTGTGGAAGGAGCTAATCCGAACAGCTCATGAACACTAGGTCCCTAATTAAAGCACACAGGCTAGCCCTGCCTGTAATTAATTTCCCTATGCTGCTCCACTGGCAGCCCGGCTCTCAGTGCCACTGACTCCCAGCAGCTGCAGAGGCATCGGCAGCGGGAGAAGAAAAGCCGTGGTTCGGAGTGGAGCAGGATTTGCCCCTTCCCTTCCTCTCCTCTGCGCTGGGGAGAAGCCGTAGTGTGCCTCCAGCTCTGTGCACACCCAGAAGCTGGGGCAGGACCTTGCTGCCTGGCCCCGGCAGCTCTCTCCGCGGGGAAGGGCTGGTGGTGCACGCACAGGGCATGAGCGCTCAAGTGACCCAGAGGGTGCAGGAGCATGGCTGTCGGGAAGGGGTGGCACAGGGCAGGGTGCCATTCATATGCATGGCTTGTTCTCTGCTGGCTGCTTCATGTCCTCTCTTTCTCTCCCCGTGTATACATATATTTATTATGCACGTGCCTCCCCTGGCTGGAGCTGGAACAGGAGTCTTGTCATTGTGATTCCTCTCCCATAGGAATGGTTCTTTGCTTCACTCGGCTGTGAGCGTGTCACATATTTATAAGGCATGTGGGATGCATCTGGGTTGTGGTTGGATTTTCCCCGAGTAGGCTGTAGCCCCTGCGGTATTACCAAGGCAGGGAGGAGCAGCTGGGAAGATCCGTAGAGCCTGCAGTGGTGCCTGCAGTCCAAGCGCGGTTTTGCCGGAGCGGATGGTGAGGTGAATCCCATTGCTCCAGTGCCACCCCGGCCCCCATCTTCTGAACCACGAAACTGGAGAAGGAGGCTCCAGAAAGTCCTATTTCTCTGGCTACAGGTTTTCATTATCAGCTGGAGAGGAATTGTGCTGGTCAGAGAGTTGCCAGCATTGTTTTAATTTCCCAGGAGGCTCCTCTTGGTGTGACATGTCTGCAGCAGGGGATTTCAGTTGTCTCGTGTTACTTTGCTCCATACAATGGGACGTGATATGTCAAAACATGACAAGCCAGCCAGAATGTGTCATAATACTGTACTCAACACACTGCCTTCCAGGGATGCTCAGCAGCTAATAATATCAGTCTCAAATTATCTCTGCATGCTGAGCTGTTATTTTTTCTCCCATGTGGACTATGATATATAGGAGTCTCCTGCCTATATTGGACTGTTGGATCATCCCAGATTTATTAGGTGCACACGGTGAATTATTTTGACTAGAGTGAAACTCAGGCCTGGGATCCCAGTCTGGTATTGCAGAAAAGCGTCTTTCCCGCCTTGGGTTCTCCAATAACTTTATTATTGCTTCAATAAACAGCTTGGTGAGATTTCCATATGATTTAATCCTTTATCGTTGGGGTTTGAAGTTGCTATTTTGATGCAGAGATGTTGTGATTTCATTAGCAACGTGACTGCCTTTCGGGTGTTTCTGTCAGATGCAGCTGCTGTCTCCAGGATTTGGCCCCACGGGAGCCAGCATGCTGCACCGTGCACACGTGGCTGGACGCAACCGGGCTCTCTCCAGTCTCCCCAGTTTATCCCATTCTACATCGTTGCCCTTTTCTGCCTGACTTTTTGAACTCTGCTATTTTACCTTAAGGTGTAATGAGGCATCAACATGCCTGAACAATATTTTCAGTCTTCCGAGGAAGAAAAAACCTCCCACAACCGCGAAGAGGGAAAGCTGCTGTTGTCCTTGGGCTGGAGCTCCCCAGTGATGGGGAGGAACATGTCTTTTTGCCGGAGGCACTGTGATGAGCTGGGAAGGAGACACACGTGTCCCTGCTCGCACGTGGTGTTTCACAAACGGAGCCTCCCACTGCTACAGTTGCTGCCCATTCACTTTAGCTCCCGTATGCGGTTTAGAGGAAGCAATCTAATCACTTGCTGCTAATTGCTGGTAAAGCGCTGCTGAAACTGCCTCTCTTCCTTGCCTTCCCCACCATGAGTAGGAATGAGTAGGTCTCTCAGCTGGAGGTTCACGCTGACCCTCCCTCCCAGGTCCCTTTTCAGAAGATGATGCTGGTTGCACAGCCTCTGCCCACCCCTGCCCACCCTCCAGGCCCTTTCCCAGCAGCCCAGCTGGGGCTGGTGAATTTGGTGCATCAAAATGCTTCCTTGTGATTCCTGTGAGACCAGCTCCTGGGGAAGTGGGGTGGTCATCGCCTTGAAAAAATGTTCCTCTCAGGGGCCTTTCAACCCCAGTGGGCTGCCTGAATGCTTGGTACACACGAAACCTACTTCTGCTTCACAGACTTTGAGGAATCCCTGAATCAAGCATTGCACATTATTTCCTCCAACAACAGCACTGCCCTCTGTGGAAAAACATGCTGTTTTCTCCTTTTCCTCGGTGGCTGCACAGATTCAAAGGGAAAAAGGGGAGAGAGGAAGGAAAGCAAGAATATGTGGCGTAAAGGTTTGACCAAGAGAAGGAACCGATGCTCTTGTCCCTGTGCCCTCTACAGGCAGGTCTGGCCTGTAAGTTATTCTGGGAATCCCTCAGTTATTTCTCACAGGAAGACCAGTTCAGTCAGAAATTGTTCATGTAAAATCACAAAAGCCACATCTCCGTCTTACACTCTGAGTACAACCTGGGGACGCCTGCTTGTTTTGGAGAGTTGTTCAGGTTGTTCAGTGATCCCCAAAAGCAGAGGAGCTGTTGGCACTGCTGGAATGGGACAGAGAGTTGCCCAGTACAACCCCGTAGCTGCAGGCATCAGCAGTAGCTGGGCAGATGCTTTCCCGTAGGCTGAACTGTGATAAAAATGCCTGTGGCAGAGACAAATGGCCCCCCAGAAGACAGCCTCTTTGCTCAGAGGTAAGCTCCTTGGAACAGGGCTTATGTTAGATGTGCATTCAGGACCCACGGTGCAAATACATAATTACGATCAGTCTCTTTTGCCACCAAAGTCAGAGGCCTCCCAAGTGTGAAAGGAGGTGCTCAGACTTTGTCACTACAAGTGTATATTGATTTTAGCCATTGTGTTGAGTGGTAGAGCATTTTTAATTCTGCATTTTAATTGTTTGGCTCCCCTGGCATATGTTGTTTGTGGTTAATGGCAACACACTTAGAAGGGTGATTTTCAGGCTCATCTATTAGTTGCAAAGAAAAGTGCTCTCCCATGACCCTGGCTAATTTGCATACTATTTTTGTTATCCTTTAGGAAGGAAACTGCTGATTTTGGTGCTTTGCTTGAACATCCAGTCAGAAGTGGAGTCTTGCCCCGGGGCGTGTGTATGCTACAGTGAACCGAAGATTACAATAAGTTGTCAGCAGCAAGGACTGACAGTAATCCCCACTGAGATACCCATCCAGAGCCAGCGCATCTTCTTGCACAACAACAAGATAACCCTTGTGAGGTCCACCAGCTTCACCTCCTGCCGCAACATGACGATTCTTTGGATCCACTCCAACAACATCAGCCTCATTGAGCCTGGAGCCTTTTATGGGCTCAACAAACTGGAGGAGTTAGATCTCAGTGACAACACGAACCTGAAATCTATCAACCCTGTCACCTTCCGGGGTCTTGTTCACCTCCACACCTTACACCTGGATCGCTGTGGGCTCCTGGAGCTCTCCACAGGGCTTTTCCGAGGGTTGTTCTCCTTGCAATATCTCTACCTTCAGGATAATAAGCTACAGAACCTGCTGGATGACACCTTCGTAGATCTTGCAAACCTCACCTACCTGTTTTTGCATGGTAACAAAATCAAAAGCTTGTCAGAGAATGTCTTTCGCGGGCTAATCAACCTTGACCGGCTGCTTCTGCACCAGAACAGAGTCAGCCTGGTTCACCGCCGGTCTTTTCACGACCTTGGGAAAGTGATGACCTTGTATCTGTTTAACAACAACCTGACCGTGCTCACGGGCGAAACCATGGCTCCTCTGGTGTCCCTTCAGTACCTGCGCTTGAATGGCAACCAGTGGATCTGTGACTGCCAGGCTCGGTCTCTCTGGAATTGGTTTAAGCAGTTTAAAGGATCATCTTCAGAGCTAGAGTGCCACCTTCCCCCCCGCTTGGCAGGGAGAGACCTCAAAAGGCTGCAGAGCACCGACTTGGAAGGGTGTGTCGACTCCTTCAACCAGATACGAACAAGCGTTTTTAGCACTAAGACCAGATCTGGCAAACTGCCAACCGGGGTCCCCCCTCTCGGTTCCCACGACGGTTCCCTGAAATGCTGCCAGCCAGAAACGGATAAGTCTTTTATTTATGAAGCTAAAGGCAAGGCGGGTCCTTCTTCCCACAGCAGCCGGCCATCCTCCAACAACCCTCTCAAGGATAAGGAGAACATGTCCAAAACCAAGTATGTTGAGACGGACCCTTCCAAAAATGGCAGCAACAAGCAGATAAACGATTCCCCCTTTGGGACCTTCCCCAGCATTGTAGACCCTCCATTGACCAAGTTGAAACCAGAATTTCTAGAGCCTATTGAACCTTCCACAGTCCCAACCAAAAAGAGGCAGGGCTGCTCTAAAAAGAACAAATCAAAGGCCCAGTGCCGCCTCACCCAGCAAGGGAACAGCTCCACGTTACAGCTCAGCCTAAGCCTTTTGATCCCCCCCTTGGTGTGGAGCTTACTGTTATTCTGCTAAAATTAACTCTTTTCCTGGGTTGATGACACTTTAATACTAGACTTTTGCTGACCTCCATAAAAGTTGCAAACAAAAGCAAAACTACTGTCCACCCTGAGAAAGCTTTGTTACACAAAAGTTAACTGGATGCCTTTATAAAAAACAAACAAACAAACAAACAAACAAACAAACAAACAAAAAAGACAAACACCAAGATGTACATAATTTATTGTCCTGAAACCTGTGAATTATACCTTTGGTCTTCGGAACTGCATTTGCCCACAAAGCAGCTTTTGCTACAGCAGATGGTAAAGAAATATGGTTTATTTACAGGATAAAAAAAAAAAAAAAAAAAAAAAGTAAGAAATGCTCCGAAAAGAATGTCTAAAATCTATTTGTAACTTGACATCACACTGAACAATATTGCAGGTTCCCATTTGCAGAGGTAATGAATTTGATGCTGTTTTAATCCTATGTTTATGAATATTGCAGTTTTTCCGTATTCATTCCATCACACCATGTTTACGGGCAGCATTTGTTAAAGAATGCTACCTTTTCCTTCACAAGATTGCAGTATATATAGATATGCATTTTATTTTACTTGTGTACAAGTATACGAAAAAAAAAATATAAAATAAAGATTTCTTTTTCCTAAATGGTCGTCATCTGCAAGGGGTGAAGTATGCTAACCAGCTAAAAAGCTGAAAAATTTAAAGGATGTTGAGTGATCTGTGATCTGAAGGCAGGCTGAGCATTTAACACAACAGTAATAAATAAGACATACTCAGTATGGTTATGCAATCTTTAACTGGTGCTAACAAAGGGTTTCCTTGCATAAAATGTGCCCTGCTAATGCTCCTGTTTTCCTTCAAACTGTCCCACGTATTCGCCCAACATCACTCATAGTTCAGTACGCTCAGAATAGCCCGAAATATTAACCCAGCCCCTCGGAGCTGAGAACTCCAGGTTGCAGGTAGGGGAACGTTAGTAAGCAATCTCAAGAAGTGGGGCAGGGCCATTTTTCTTCTGATATGCGCAGATAACTAGACTCAGCTCTGTGGTTAATGAACCAGGAGGTCGTTCCAGAGTGGAGCAGCACTCAGGCCTGGATTTGTGCAGCACGCTGTATCTCCCCAAACACGCAGCTCCTGGCCTTGCAGGTCGGGCTGGCTGCGCTGGAGAGCTGGTGTCCATTCCTGGCTGTGCCACCAGCGCTCCAGGGGCTCACTGCGCAAGTGACTTCATCTTCTGTATGACCCCCATCTTTGACCTCAGGATGCTATGGAAATAAAACCATTGATGTCTGAGTGCCCCCACACAGTGGGGCATAAAGCACCTGCCTAGATCTAGTTGTGTACTCCTTGCATCGCAGACGGCCCCCCCCGCGCACCCAGCATGTAGTCCAGGTTATGGCAGGTTGTGCAGGGAGTTTGCCAGGACGTTGCTTTTCCTTATCAAACTATAGATTTTCTTCTGTGCTCCTCTCTTCAGGAAGACTGTTGAGGTATTGAGGTCTACGCGTGGCACGCAGGTGGCAGGTAGTGTGGGCCAGAGGAGAGCAAGAGCAGTATCATGGGTCTAACAAGGTCCTAGGAACATGCGCTAGAGGACTATGTGTGCAGTCAGGTTGTGGGGTCTCTAGGCTGCACTGGCCACCACTGGGGTTCACGGCACTGGGACTGGTGCTCAGCTTTACAGAAGAACCACATGTGGAACCACTGCAAGCCAGGAGTGAAGGACATCAGCAGGATCATGACTGAGTGCCAGCCTTGCTCTAGGCTTGATGGTTCGTGAGGAAACAGTGACCCTGGGAAGAAGCAGGGGAGGATGCTCGGATGGCTCACGTCCCAGAGAAACGGTGGTGCTGCAAGTTGGGCAGTCAGCACTGCAGCGTCTGAGGCCCACCTGCAACAACTTCGTGGGGTGCTGCTGGGTACTTTCTACCCCTGCCACACCCAGTTTCCACCTGCGCGAATGATGGGGAGGGCGGTGCCCAAACTGTTGCATTTTTGATCTGTCTCTTCCAAATTCATCACCGGGGCTGCCAAAAAGACGTGGCATAGGCCCATATGGGTGAACAGCTCACTCTTGGCACTGAGATGGGGACTGATCTGTCAGCACCAGCTGTGTCACTGAGCAGATGCTGTGCAGCACAGCCCTGGCTCCCAGCAGATCTGACTGCTGCCATCATGCCTTCATGACCAGCATCAGCCTCTGCAGAGGAGCCAGGCATATTTCAGTGCAAATACATTGTCCTGCCCGAAGCATGAAGCAAGAAGTCAGTGCCCGGTGTTGGGATTCCTAAGTGCCTTAGTGAGCCAGACAACCTTGGCAATCCTGATGCCTGCACGCATGTCCAGTTTGTGTGTATACTTATCCACACACAGGTGAGTGATCAGTACACTACCAGCTGCTTTCTGCCATACTTACTAGGATTTGTCCCCTTCGTGCCAGTGCTGAAGGATTTTCCAAGGTCCTGCATGCCCAAAACAGGCTCTGTTGTCTCCTCTTCATCCAAAAGCATCACGCAGGCTCTTGAGGGATTCAAAGCTACAGCAGAAGCTAAAGCACAGCAACAGAGAGCAGCTCAGCCTGGCTTGGGCACGGGGTCAGCAGCTCTCCAAAGCCCATAGAAAACCCAGAAGAATTGCTGGATGCTGTGACTGGCTGCTGTGGAAACTCCTATTTTGATCATAGTCCCAGGGTACACCACGTGTCTCCCTTGTACAGTAGTTGGTGAGTCTTGTGGTCAAAATGCTTGGACTGGTGCCCACAGATCTATAGGCATGAGGAAACCAGACGAGGTGGCAAAAAAATAGGATGAACCTGAAAAAAAAAAGGGGGGGGAACAGCCGCTTGTTGTGGCATTTCCCCACAGCAACTAAGTGGGCCCTGAACAGAGCTGAGGTCTGGGCTTGTCTATGCCCAAATCAGTATCACGGGGAGTTTGGCTTTGATGCTCCCTGTGGTTAACACAAAGCAGATGAGCGCATTACTCTCACTTATCCTGAGGGGACTAGGAGTTGCTTTATGCCAATCCAGTGACACTCTTCCTGCTTTCCAGAGCTTGACTCTGCTGTGCTTTCAGTGGCTCCTAGGGCTATATATTGGCCAAAAGCCCAGAAGAATCCCTTGTGCTAATTTCCTAGATTTTCTGCTGTCCCGATGCCAGTTTCTGTGTTTACAGGCATTAGAAGGCCAATTGAATGACAAATTATTGAAGAAGGTGATGCAATGGACAGCAGCAACACCTGTAGGAGTTTGGAAGAGGCACAGGGTGAGCTCTGGTATTGGTGAGGGTAGGGATGGTTTGAGGACTTCAAAGGAAGGCAGTTTTCCTTCTGCTTTGTGCTTTGCTGGGGTTGACATAAGCCTTCCAGATATTTCTAGACCTATTTTACACTCAGTTGTCACTGAGTTAAATGGTATTTACCCAGCAGGGTTCAGGACCTTGTTGACTGCTCCCCATCTCATGATACCTTCTCTCTTCCTTTCTTGTTGTGCAAGTCTCAGTCAATTTTCTGCTCATGTCCTTGATGCCAGGAGTGAAATCAAATAAACAAAGTCAACAGTGAGGAGCCAGAACAGCTCAGGATGGATGAGAGTCCAGACTGTCCTGGGGAGAATGGACTGCCCATCACAGAGCACAGAACTGCACAACTCAGCACGTAGTGTCCCCTATGCATTGTCACCTTGCAGACCCTTGATAATGCAGTACTGACTGTTGAAGATGCAGTAAAACACAGGCCTCCAAGCAGTGGTGGAAGAACACTGCGTTCATGCTTGCTTCTCTGACAGCCTTTGCCTCCATGGATCCCCACTTATTCTTTGCTGCCAGCTTCACACTTGTCCTTGCAACAAGCAGGAACAATACCAAAAGAGAAACGCCTTTTCCAGGTTTTCAGGTCCACCTGTAAGCACTGCCAGGCTCCAAGCTAGCCAAGGAGATGATTATGCCCCTCCTTGTCAGGGTAACGTGAAGTGTATTTATCCTCTGCCCCCCTCTCCCCACTCCGTCTTCCCAGCCTCCTGTGGAGAGCAGGGAGATGGCATTGTACCTCTGCCTGTGGATGGGGAAGTGGAGTCCCAAAGTGTGTGCCCCCAGGTGGCAATTTGTCCCATCCTAAATGAGGTGCCTCACACAGGTATGGTGAGCTTCGCTCCAGAGGTCCCTATCTCTGTCTATCATGCTGCCAAGTTGCGACATCTGACATGAACACATTTTATGTAAAAGTAGTTTCATCAAGCTGGTTTTGAAAGCTTTCTTTTTCTTTCTTAATGGATAACTGAGATTCACGGAGGTCAAAATTTTACACAAGGATGCTGTGGCTTTGACGCCGTTTCCACCATCAAGATCTTTTCAATCAAAGTCATGAAAGAACAGAGAGGAAATGCAGTGTGAAAGAAACTCCACTAATGTCCTGATTTGTAAGAAATCCTGTGAGTTGATTGGAAAGGACTTAGATGCTCTGACACATGTAGCTCAATCAGTTCTAGTGTAAGCTGTGGTCTCCTGAGGATTCCTCACTTTCGCTGTCCAGAGCCCCTCCAAGCCTTCAGATGATGAATAGGCTGGGTCTGTGCATTGAAAGTGGCTCACAGGGCTGGGTCTAAACCTCGTTGCTATAGCTGCTGAATCAGCCTTACTGGCAACACATCATCAGATGCCCAGGAGAGGCTGGGAGCAGGACATGACCAGCCCAAGCTGACCATGGCCAGGCACTGGGCCTTGGTAGCTTAGTTCTCTGCGCGCTGCACACAGCAGATTGAGCTCCTGACAGTGTTTCAGGAACAGTCATTTCACTGCATGTGAGGGATCGAGGAGAGGTGCAATGCCCCGAGGGAGACCAGCTCAGGCAGAGCTAGTAGACCCTCTTGGCTTCACACTGTAGGGGTCTACAGTTGCCTCAAATGTGTTTGTGGCTGCTGCTTTCCTCCCCTCTTGCCCCTCTTTCACTGGATGTGAGAGGACGTGCAAGTTGTTTTGGCCTCTCCTGCTCTTCCCCTGAGCCAGGGGACTCCCATTTCCAAGCTGGTCCTCCGGTCAGCAGCACTGTGACTCTCCAACTGCTGAAAAACATTCCTCAGGTCCCCACACTGAAATCAGCTTAAACATGTGGGGCTTCTTAATGAAGCTCATCTGAGTTCTGCTTAGCTGCATACTGGTTTTGGAAGCCATGTTTCTAAGATTTTCTCATCTGAGACTGAAATTTCCCCACTCCTCTTCTGGGTCAGGGAACCATCAGAGAAACACTAAATCTCACAAGACTCGGGACAGTGCTGAGAGCTGCCAATGCTGTGTCAGGGACCAGAACCTGCTTCTGGCAGTAGTGCCTGCAGTGGCCTGTCTGTGAGGACAAGTACCTGCTTGTAACCCTGGCCCTGAGCATCTCTGCTCCTTCCTTCCCCAATAGCTCACAGAAGATCAGGGGGAAAATGCACAGCTGCCCGTGACTCCACAGGGCTGAGAACTCTGCTCCTAAACAGGATCTCCTAAACCCTGTGAGCAAGTGGTGTTTCCACATCTCGCTGCTCTGACACAGAGAGGATTATCCGAGCTGCTGAGTTTTGCTACAAACAAACATGATGCATAGAAAGAATAAAGGCTGGAAGGTTTTCTGATTTGAAGCTGTGCTTCTGGATTAGTTCCCTATCATTAAACAGTGAAGGAGAACACCTATTTCCATTCTGCCTCCTCAAAATAAGAAAAAGATTAAAAAAAAATAGTCATTGAGAAGTGGGGGTGGGCAGGAGAACAGAGAACAAGCAAGAAAGGCAAAGGTTTCTTAGGGATTATAATGGACCATGGTGTCACAATTGGTGATGGGAAGCTCTGGAGATAGCATAAAGTCTGGATACAACCATGGTGAGGGCAAGGAAACTGTGAAATTATGCAGAGATCTCTGCTACAAAACCAAGCCCAAACATTTGAATCTGGCTAGGGACAGAAACACTAATTAGAGACCCCTTGATTTGTGCCATAACTAGGGCATTGCATGGGGAAATGCTGAGGCAGGTAAGACTTAATGGAATTGCTTCCCAGGACATCTATAAATAGGGATAATGGAGACTTGGCAAAGAGAGGCACCATGAAAATAAAGGTATATGCTGCCCACTCACTAAAAGATGAGGCATTTCAAATCTTGAGATGACCCACCTTCGGTTACAGTTTGAGAGACTTGTTCTAGGTCAGCAGGTACCAAAAAGGCCCAGCTGTCATCAAACATAAAAACAGTAACGTCTTTTGGGATGAAATCATAGCTTTTGATAGGCTGCCGCATTCCACATGGCACCAACACAGGCGCGCTAGCTGGGATGAGTCACGGGCTGGGCTTCTTCGCAGCATTTCGCTTGTGGGTGGCTCCATCTGCAGTGGTTTACTTGTGTCAGGGTCCATCTGCAGTGGTTTATTTGTGGGTCGGGTCTGTTGGCAGCAGTTTGCTCATGGCTCAGCTCCTTTGCGGTAGCGTGGTTGTGGCTGGCTCCTACTTGCATTTGTTGTTCTGTGGCTGGGTTTGAGTATTATCGCTTGGGTTTAATGCAGAGAGGGAACGACTGCAAAATCTGGTATGAGGAGGGAGTGCTGGACTTCTCCGTGTGAGTGGGCAGTTAACATTTTAAAGCAGTGAAGCTGCACCTCTTCGCTGGTTGTGGTCAGTGGGGTTTAAACCGACACTCCTGAAACCCCCTGTAGGTGTGTTTGCTGCTGCCTGGGCTGTAAGATCCTGCTCTGCTTTCTGCACAAGCCTCTCTAGTGCAGTCTGACCCAACACCTCTAGAGAAGGACTGGGAGCTTCACAGCGTGGACAGCTGATGTTTCCCTGGAGCTCAGCAGCATCTCTCAGTGGGTGTGCTGCGTGATCCCTTCCATCGCCCCAACGGGCCACGGATCCTCCCTGCCACCCGTGAGCAGAAGGGTGTGTTATGCACTGCCACGTCCCTGCCTGGGAGGAGTGGCACAGCATCATTCTTTTACCAGCACCCACCACAGACAGTCCCCCAAACACACACGGAGGTGCCTCCCCCCTGCCCCCGGACCCTCAGACATCAGCCTCCCCGTCGCTGCCTTGCCCTGCTTGAGGAACTCTGTGTTTAGCCTCTGAGCAACAGAGACAGCTCTGGCTGAGCTGCAGTTTCCAGCAGTTTCACATGCACAATAGCGGACCTCAGGTGAGTCCTTTAACCTCTTTCCCAGCACCCGTCTGGGTGCAGAGGGGCTGGTGGTAGGAGATTCTGCTGGGTCTTAACACACATCCAGGCTTCTTCATCAGGAGAAGGGCAGGATGCTCAACTGCTTTTTGGTTTTGCTGGAGCAAAGCCCTGAAAGTGGGCTGACTGAGGACTCTTATTTAGCTGCACAATTGCTAAATAAGGGCAGAGCTGTTCTTTTCTCCCCTGGTATTTCCATTCAAACAACAACAACAGCGGCAGCAGGAGCAGCCGCTCCCATGGAATATTTATAAGTTGTTTGCAGAAATGTCAAGAAGAGCCAGTGGTTGTATTAACACACTCTCAGAGCAGCAGTCTCAGAAAGTTATCTTGTGTGATTCTTAGTCAAAGTGCTTTATGTAATAGTTACAAGCGCTTACAAATCCCAGTGACATTTTTGTGTTTCTTGATAAACAGCCATTCAGTGTCCTGACACTGAGACAGGAATCAATCACTTTTGCTCGTTCATTAGCTGTCTGCATCCTCCCCTAAGCCCCGCAGTGAAATGAACACCAGGTTACCTGGAAGACTCAGGCCCTTTCTGCATGACAATTAGAGACTGAGCTCAAACAAGATGCAGCAAAGCTGGATAGCAGGCACGCTCCTCACCCGGTGATGTCAGACATCCACACAAATTTCAAGTTGACTTCAAGATGCTAGGACTAAATGTTCCCATTTGCTTTGGGCAGTAAAAGTTGAACTTTTAACAAGGTTTCCAAGCAAGACTATTAAATTCTGTATTTTGCTAAATGCTTTTTTTTTTTTTTTTTTTTTTTTTTTTGCTCAATATTCCCAGACCTCCTTGTTTTTTGGGAGACTTCAAGTTTCTTTCCTTTCAACACCCTTCATCCCCACCAGCCTCTTCCCTGCATTCCCAGAAAGTCTGGCAACAAAGGAGGTCTGGGAATGCATTCATATGCACACCTTATTTCTGTGAGTTAGGGTGTGGAAAGTACACTGGGATGTTTAACTTTACTGTGTATGTTTTGACCTTGTGTGTCACTTTTAGGAGTGTTTCTGGAAATGGCAGCTCACCAGAGGGGTTCAATATCAAGGTCCTCTGGACTCCACGTGGGTAAGTTATTGCGATGTTGTTGGCTTGGTTGGACCTGAGAGGTGCTTTGTCTTTGACCAGATTGTTCTTAGCCAACTTTTGTAAGCTGGAAAGGTCAGGAATATTTAGGTGCAATCAGAGGAGCATTCAGCTTCTGCTTTGTTTCCACCCTTGGAATATATGACTTATTTCCACCAGAGTTGTGGTCTTTAAACAACCTAAGAGATTATTTCCAACCACTGGGTGAAACAGGGGTCATCCCAGAAGGAATGGGTGTCTGTGGGGAAAAAATCTGTTTTCTTCTACCAGAGTGGCCTAAAAGTTCTGGAGAAAACTGTGACACATGGACATCCCATTTTCCCTTGTGTGTTTCTAAATCACTGGTGCCGCTCATACATCTTGCCAGGGCCCTGAGTTAATGAATAGGTCCTGACCAGCTTTGTTTGGGGCCACCACCCAAACCGTGGGCCCAGGAGCTCTATTCATGTTCAGCCTTGTGTCTTCAGTCCCTGTTGGAGACATGCTGGAGAACTGCTAGTCTACAGCTCAGTCATAGTCCCTGCCTGGCTACAGAGCCCTGCTGCTCTGAACCCCAGCTGTGGGCTGATTTCATGGCTCGAACTTGGACCTGTCACCTCACTAAGGACCTGCTCAGTGATCACTGGACCTGGTCCTGACCTGTGGATTGGCCTCCTGGCTTCACGTTGGACTTGCCTCATTGCTGTGATAGTGTCTTGTGATGGGGACTCTTGGCTGGACCTTGCCACCATCTCTTGGTCTTGTTTCCTCACTCACGTCCTGTGGGACAGGCTGTGGCTGGTGGGCTCCCTTCTGACTGTGGGATCCCACTCAGCTCCTGGCTTGCCTGCCCTGAGGGAGCAGCCCTGCTCTTGCTGTTCCCTGATACATCTCATGAAATCATAAACCTTACAGACACCAGCTATATGATGAGAAGGGGCCGGCAGAACAAAAGGCAACCCAGCTGGCCTGAAGCTTGTCTGAGGTATGACCCAGCCTTCTCCAGAGCCACTGAATTTTGATGCTGGCAAAACCTTTTGTGGGGCTGGAACAATGCATATATGTATAAGGGTTGTCTAGTCAAGCTTTATACTATTCAGGTTCTTTCTGGTTTGCTTGAATAAAATGAGGAGAAGGGTGGGCTCCAAACCATGTACCAAAGACTGGAAAGGAAGCATCTGGTGTGCCCAGGGGTTGTCATAGTGAAGATTAGTGACACATAATAATAATGAATTCCGAAACTTTCACCTTGATTTCTCTGCCTATTTGAGCTTTGAAGTGAGCGTCTAATATTATGTTAGCAGTTTATTGTGTGTGCTTCATTAAAAATACATCACACACTTTTTTGAGCTAGAAGGGACGCAAATTAGGTCATCCAGTCCAGCCTCCCGCTGTTCTGCCAGGACTCTGATCTTCCTAATGACTCCAGCCCAGCCCTGGCAGGTGCTCGTCTGGCTGCCAATCGAAGCTCTCGGCTGACAGGGGGGAATCAGGCTCCATCCGAGATGATTTAACTTTTTAAAAACTTTCAGGCTTCTTGTTAAAAGAGGTTTCATTTCATGTTCCCGTACACCTGCTTTGACGGCGCTTGAACTGCCAGGAGGGCAGCTTTGTCACCTCTGATGTGTTGTAGCTCCCCTCCGTGCTTTGAGCTGGGCAGATTCAGCCACCGCCGCCACTGCGGAGCAATGCAGGCATAGGCAGGGGTGACAGAGGAGCTGCTCACTGGTGGGAGGTCTTCTCGAATGCATCTCCACGGCTAAAAACACTTGGGTGGAATGGTGGCTCCAGGACTCTGGCTGTAGTGGTCTTTCCTCACGGTTTGTCCCCAGCCCTTTTCTAGCTTTGCTTTCCCCTGTTCCTGTCCCCTGCTGTTCCCTTGGATGTTCCTTTGGGATATTGGTGCAGGAAAAGGTGCAAGCCTCAGCACTACCGAGGGAAGAAGAGTTGTACCAAGTTCTGCGATGTTAGAAATGTAGGGTTTGCCTCAAACTCTTTGTCAGCCTCAGCTGGAGGACACAAAGATTTGAGAAACACTGGGGCAGACCTAAATGAAGATACTTGCATGCTGTCATCTTATTTTCCTTTTGGGATGACTTTCTATGGAGTGGTGCAGCTCTTGATGTTTGTGGGACCTCAGCATCACACATCTTGCTTCTAGGTTGCACTACTGGCTGCTGCGATTGAGCCCCGTGCAGCCTTGTGTCTTCCTGCCAAGGGAAGACTCAACAAAGCTGAGCTAAATGCTCACCAGCGCTGGCTGCTGCGAACAACCAGAGAGCCTCCATGTGAACTCAAGAACTAGCTCACTTAACACTCCAGCTTCCATGTGCATGGAAGAGCTATGAGACCCACCAACACTCCTGTGGGCATCCCAGGAGCTGTGTGCACCAACTGCTGCACAACTGAGACAGGCTGGAGCCACCGAGTCCTCCATGCTGTGGGTCTGTGCTGGCTTTCAGCAACTTGGGAGACGCATCTGAGATGTGTCCTAGTGAGGAAGAGTCTGATCCAGCATTTGCTGCTCCTGCAACAAGTGGTTCGTCCAGGGTCAGCATGGTGCTGGCAGATCTAGGGGGAAAACAGCAACAAAAGTGCAGGGGAGGGACCAGTGGGTTTTGACCTGAAAGACCATCGTGCCACAGCGTTTATGTGCTCTGAGCTGAGGTCTACAAGCAGGGTTTCTTCTTGGGGGGAGATCTAAGTACGTGCCTCCCTTGGGAGCATGGGAAGCACCACACTCACTGCCTCTGCGGCAGGACCTGGAAGGTCCAAGCAGCCTGAGCTGGCCTTCCCTGGACTTTGAGGCAAAAGAGACTGATTCCAGCTTGAAGACGCCTCTGGGTTTTTCTCAGGCTCCGTGCCTCCTCCAGGGTAGGGAAAGCACAGACCTTAATTAGCTGTAATGACTGTCTGTCTTGGGCTGGGGCCACAGGCCCTGGGCTGTGCAGTGTTTGGCAGAGTGCTGTGCTGAGCAGTCTAGCATGACCTAGAAAAACCTCTTAATGTGTTGTTCATTTTGAAAGGGGCAATGGTCTTATCTAATCACAAACCACATCCTTCAGCACCAGAGCCACTGCAGCCAAGTTAACTCAATTAGTAAATCACCATGCCGAGCTATTTAGAGACAGTTTTTAATGGCTCTAGGAACAGGAGGATAATAATATAGAAACAAAGTGCACTAATATGCTGTGATGGGGTAACTGGCATCCCTCCCCATCCCTGCAGGGCCTTTGAAAAGAGGTGATGTTATATGGGGCTTTCTCATTTCCATGGAGGCCCCCTCCCTAAACACATTCCCTGGGGTTCCTTCTTTGTCATCCCTGCAGCCTCAGAGAAACTCACACATTTTCAAAGCATGCGAGTTTGAGAGGGTGTGTGGTGGTTTTTTTTTTTTTCTTTTTTTGCTTTCCCCAACAATCTTATTTTAAGTCTGTCCTCCCCCTCTTCCCTCCTCCAGGTCTGTTTTGCCTTGTGTTAGCCCACTTGAGATCTGGGCACCTGCACTCAGAGGCTCTGTCTCTTGTTTTGAGGGGGGCTGCAGGCTACTTGGGAGGACAATGTCCAGGTGCTGTGCTGGCCATAAGAGGTTCACCAGGGAATGGGGACCAGTCCCCAGGAGGGTGTTTGTACCCTGAGAGCCAGGACCATGCTGCTGGGCATGCAGGCTGTTATGCTAGGACTCCTGGGACCTTTTCCATCCTTTGCCACAACCTGCAACAGAAAAACTTCTTAGCCAAAGCAGAGAGGTTAACAGAGCCATTAGGCCCCTGTGTCACAAGAGTTATGAAGGGAGGCAGAGCTCCTGTGCAGTACCTCTCCTCCAGACCTCAGTTTCTCCAGGAAGGGCTCAGACCTATATTGTCATTACTCATGTGAGAAACAGAAGCTTTGAGTGGGTAAAATGCCCCAGGTGGCCTTAAAGAGTGATAGCAGAAGTGGGATTTGGACACAAACTTCTGCATTTTTCATCCAGGGCTCATAAAATAATTTGCAGAGGATTTAAAACCTTATCTGAGCAACGATCAGCATCTTTCCCGAATAAGGCTGAAAACTGATATTCACTTATTTACAGTTTCTTTTTTGCATTTAGCCTTACGTTTCACTAACAGTGGAATTTAGCAGGTCTGAATCAGTTTTGGAGACTCTCGTTTCCCCCGCACAAGGACAGCTGTAGCTGGAAATCCTGGCTTGAAGTGCAACCTTGCAGTAGGGTGAAGCTCAACCAAATGCTATAGAAGTAGGAAGGCGAGGGCTGCCTCCCCATGCAGTCTTGCTTCAGACTCCTTGCAAGCATGTCTTCGGATGATGTTAAATGATCTCAGAGTTTTCCCACACAGCCTCACCTCACTCAGCCTGGAGAGTACTCGGGGTGGAACGACTGCTCTGCTCCTTTGCATGGAACGTGTGGCCTGTTTCACCCAGCCTGGCTCTGAGCACAGCACTATAAATGGTACATAAATTGCTATGGTACCTGAGTGCTTCCCAGCCAGTCCTGGTTTTCAAGACCATTGTAGAATAGGGAGATTATTTTAATACCATTTGTAGGCAGCACTTTCCAGGTGCTTAGAGAGCAGGGCATTTGGAGAGCACAGTTTGGTGCTGCTGCCCTCTAATCCGCTCAAAACACGTATGGGTTTTGTCTTGTCAGAGAAGCAAACTGCCAGAAAGTTGCTCCCCACCTCCTCCCGTTTACCAAACAAAATTTCTGTGATTTGACTTCTTTGAGGATGCCATACAGGTTAAAAACAAAACAAAACAAAACAAAACAAAACAAAACAAAACAAAACAAAACAAAACCAAACAAGAAAAAACCAAACCAAAACAAAAAAATATGCACCAAAATTGTGATATTTCTATTATTTTCCTTCCCAAACATTTAGCTAACAGGCAGCATTTCCCAACCATCTCTAATGAGAATGGTATAAATGATGTGCAAAAATTATTTGAGGCATTAAGTGGCCAAAAGTTTGGACCCAACAGAAATGTCAGTGTTTTTCCACTTTATTATTTTTTTTTTTTAACTCAAGAGGGCTGAAAAAAACTGTGTGTTCAACAAAAAAATCTGTTAAACTGATTCTATTTCAGATTTCTCTAGTGGAAGCAAAAGCTTGGAAATAGCAGCCTGTACTTAAGCACCAGTCCCTGAGAGAGTCAGACGGAGGCCGTCTCCTCTCCTCCCAGCCCGGCCCTGGAGCTCTGCTGAGCACGAGGAATGTCCTCTCAGAGGTCCTGCCTGTGTTTCTGTCCCTCAGGAGAGCAATGATCTCACCAGTGGCCAGCCAAGGGAGAGGGATGCTGGAAGCAGAGAGAGGTCCGAGGACATCCTCCCCCCTGCTCTTTCTCACACTGCATGTCGGGCTTGTTGCGAAACCCCTGAAATCCCTCCTAAATGGGTCTCGTTGTCCCAAGGCCACAGCATCATGCAAGGCTTTTTCCCCCTTGGAAAATGCTGGTAGGCTTTGTTCCAGAGGGCGATCTCTGTGAGTTGGGACTAAACAATCCCACCTGTAACTGGGGAGTGCTGCAGCACATTGTCCTTGGTTTATACAGAACAAAGCAGTTGTGGCTTTCCCACAAGGTGCAAACATGGGTCTCACGCCCGTATCCCACAGTGATGCCACCTCCCACACTTAAGTTCCTGGTTCTGGGTCCCAGTCCATTCCCCTGCACTTGGACCCCACACCTCTGCCTTCAGCATTTCCATGGCCACTGGCTCATGGTGCACATCAGCGTCTCGAAGCTTTGCAAGCATTTTGGCACCCAGTGTCACTCCCTGGGGCAGGTTGGAAAGCTCAGTGCTCCTACATCATAGAATCAGAGAATGGTTTGGGTCGGAAGGGACCTTGAAGATCATCCAGTTCCAACCCCCCACTGCCATGGACAGGGACACCACGAGACCAGGGGGCTCCCAGCCCCGTCCAACCTGGCCTTGAACCCTTCCAGGGAGGGGGCACCCACAGCTGCTCTGGGCACCCTGGGCCAGCGCCTCACCCCCCACACAGGGAAGAGTTTCTTCCTTATATCTAATCTAAATTTACCCTCTTTGAGTTTAAAACTGTATCCCCACAGCCCTTGATCAAGAGTCCCTCCCTGTCTTTCCTGCAGCCCCCTTTAAGTACTGGAAGGCCACTATAAGGTCTCCCTGGAGCCTTCGCCAACTCTCTCAGCCCGGCCCCCCAGGGGAGCTGCTCCAGCCCCCCCAGCATCTCCGTGGCCTCCTCTGGCCCCGCTCGAGCAGCTCCGGGTCCTTCTGCTGTTGGGGGCCCCCGAGCTGGCCCCAGCACTGCAGGGGGGTCTCCCCAGAGCGGAGCAGAGGGGGAGAATCCCCTCCCTGGCCCTGCTGTCCCCCCTGCTCTGGCTGCAGCCCAGGGCACGGGGGGGTTCTGGGCTGCCAGCGCATGGTGCTGGCTCACAGGCAGTTTTCCATCCACTAACACCCCAAAGTCCCTCTCCTTGGGGCTGCCCTCCAGCCACTCCTCGCCCAGCCTGGGTTTGTGCTGGGGATTTCCCCGACCCGCGGGCAGGACCTTGCACTTGGCCTTGTTGAACCCCATGAGGTTGGCCAGGCCCACCTCACCAGCCTGCCCAGGTCAGTCTCAGGGAACCGAGTCACAAGACTAAAAGCACAGCCTTTAAAACATCTCAATTACTTTTGAGTTTCTCTTTTTCAGCTTCAGGGAATGACTTTTCCAAGGCTGGAGATGCGTATCAGAAACAGCCTTGGTGCCTCACGCCTGAAATCAATGAGATTTTGATCAAGATGGAGCTGAGTGGAACAGTCCCCACCAAAAAATGGGCTTTTGCCCAAAATGCCTGTGTACATCTGTATCTGTGCAGATATCAGTTTGGTTTCTTTTTCCTCAAGTTTTTGCTTAAAACATTGAAACAGGAACACGTTCCACAGCACTTTAGCTCTCACAGGAAAAAAAAAAAACCAACAGTTTTTGAAAACTGAAAATTTTAGTGGAAAACTGAAATTCCTGGGCGGTTTCCTTTTCCAATGCTAAGGGGAAATTTTGCAAAAAGTCAATTTTTCCTGCAAAGAAGTGTGAGCTGTGCTGTTTTTCAAGCAGCTGTAGCATGAGCTCATATAGGCAAAAAAGAAATTCAGCCTGTGCACTGGGGGCGAGAGGCGTCTGGTGAACAAGAGCAGATTGTTACATCAGTGAAAGGCATTAAGATTCAACAAGTGAAAACTGACAATCTTGAGAAAAGAGCATGGAGGGAGAGGATCAGGTTAATTAACCTCCCAGAAGAATTGGAGGCCACAAGCTCAGCAGAACTTTGTGGAGGAATTAATTAAAGGTTTGTTTGTAGCTGAGCTTGATGATAAAAAAAGAAATTTAAAAAATCCCCACTGCAAGTGACTGTTGCATCCCGACACATTGAGCTCCTCCTGGACTGCTGCCAAGCTCTCATCCAGTGTTTACACCTTTAAAGAGTCAGTGGACAGGAGGAAGAATTAATTGCAATGAGCCCAGCCAAGGCTGCCAGAGGGGAACTATCAGAGCTGTCTTCATCCCTCCACCCCGGTGGGTTAGCAGGAGAGCGGGAGCGGAGCTGGGCAGGAGAGGGGACCAGGCACTACAGGGCTGGAGGGATGCAGGGATGCACCAGGCATCGCTCAGTGCCACAACGCTCTTGGGGTCAGAGCCAGGATGACTTCGGGGAGCAGGGCAACAGCTCACCTGCTGAGCGTGGTCCCTGCGGAGCTCCTGTCCCCTCTCCCTATGGGGTAACCCATTCCCTGTGCTGAGAAAATCACAGGGGCATGCTGAGAAAAGCTCCAGGAGGAGGTCAAAACCTTGCAGCAAGGTTGTGCTACTCCCGGAGTACCACGAGGCTTCCTTCAAGAGCAACGGTGACTGGGAATTCAGGAGCTCTGCTTCAGCAGGGCCAGTCCTCAGGGCACAGTGAATTCCCATTTGGACTGAGGTTCCTGGATCTTGAAGTCTGAATTTTGCTTCTGTGCTATTTGGTCATGAGGTTCAAAGACCATTGTGTATGGCGTGAATAAAGCAGGACACGCTGACAAAATAGCTGGGCTTCATAGCAGTGAAGTCTCCCTCAGCATGGAGCTGACAGGTATAACCCATAAAAGGCTTTTGCGAGGGATCTGACATCATATTCTGGTTTTAAACATTAGTATTGGGCATTACCTAATCCATGTTAAGTGGGTTGGGAAGTGACAACAGACTACAAAAGACTAGTAATCAACACAAAACTGTCATTGAATAGGGACATTTCTGTTGAGATCTCAAGAAAACAGTGAAGCCTTTGTACTTTTCAACATTTCTATCAATTATCTAAAAATAAATCTAAAATTTGCAGATAACATCAAGACTGGCAGAATGGCATATACAGATAAAAGCAAGGAGCTTTCCAGACTTAGCTGAATTCCTGGATGAGTGGGGCTGCTCAATTAAAATGTGTTTTTGCACTGGCAGATGAGTGTTAGCAGTTTTGGTGCAGGGCAGACGCAAGCTGCTGAAGGCATCAGCTCCGACAGAGATCTGCAGAAGGTGAGTGTGCTGACCACCGTTCCCAGGCCAGCAAATTGGGGTAGGATTTAAGAGGATCGAGGACAGGGTATAAAAGGTAATTTTAGCTTTTATATAAGACACTGACAGGACCAGTAGAAAGATGCTCTTGCTTCGATACTGTCTGCTTAGTGAGTCGCAAGGAACATGGATGCTGTGGGATCACTGCTCTCTCCCTGAGCACTGTAACTGGTGTTACTGGTGGGCAGGTAGTGGAGATGTGTGCTGAGCACGCAGACCTGGACCCTCGCCAGTCTGGGGCATTGCAGCCAGATTGCCACTCCCCTGCTTTCCCTCCTCCGCTTCCTCCCCCCTTGCTGTTTGGGTTATGGAGGCATCCTTAGGCAGGCACCGGGGGGTGACTTCATACTCCCAGCTTCTTGCCAGATGGCTGTGGAGGGGGTGGTTGGTGATGGGCTGTATGACAGTGCATGCTCCAGGACAAGGCAGAGGGCGGTTGCCCAGGGTACCCCCCAGAGACACGGCTTGTGTGGGACCACGACAGGGGCGCTTCCATCCAGCTTGGAGACACCAGGAAAGGCTTTCCCAGACACCACACTCAATCACGGGCTGCCATGGGAACTGGTCCTGGCTCTGGGTCTGAACACACAGTCCTTGCTGTAGGACCCGGATCTGATGTGCCAGGACCTCATGGGGTGAAGAGACAAAAGTCAAATGTACACAAGCTTTCCAGCTGCATTTGAGTTTTCCTCCCAAGGGAGTGTGCATCAGGGTAGGACCAAAGTGGACATCAGTAGGGGGTCAGTGAGGACAAGCAGGAGCTGGAAATGCTCCTGCATGATGGTATAGAAGCCAATTTCAGAAATGTCCCTCAGTGTCTCATGAGGCTTCATGGTAAATTGAAATGTCTGTTCCTGCCCCTGAAGTGTTTTCCCACCTTCCCTGACTAACACAATGCTAAATAGGTTGAGTGAATACAAAAATCAGGCCACCTGGTGTGGTCTTACACATACATGAGGAAACAACCATGTCATGGATAGCTTCCCTGAGACAATAAGGGTATGGCTTTGTATTCAAATCCCTAAGACAACCTTTTTTTTTTTTTTTTTCTGGGGTAGGGAATGACAAGACACTGACCCAGCCCCATGGGAGCAGGTCAGCATCCAGCACAACCCAGCTCTTGGTTGCTTCATTTGGAGTGGTATCAAGGACTGCAACACCCACTGGAGTTAAAGCTTCGGTCTCAGCTTGGCTGCACCCATTGGGGCAGTTAGAGAAGTAGCCTCGGAGGCTTTTGGACAGTCTATTTTGTGTCAGGTCTCTTGCATTTAGATCATTTCATTTTTATACCCAAGCAAGAATTTCCCTGGCTGAAGCTGTGTACTGGGGCACCCAGGTCCCCTGCAAGTTTACAGGTGTGTCTTAAACCTGATTCTGCACTGGGGGAGGTTATAAATGTCCTGGGAGGGAGTTTATATGCCATCAGGCACAACTTGCTTAGCTCTGAGGTTGGAGCTGGATCTCAACTCTGCCTGATCAGCACATGGATGGAAAGAAACTGTCATGGATGCAGGTCTTCAGCACAAGCAGGTACCAGGTGGCTGTCTGAAAAGGAGATGGTGCAAGTGCCTCTGAAAGAGAAACTTTAGCAGCAATGTCATGTTTTACAGGAACTGTCCATGAAGACCTTAGAGGCAATGTAACCTCCTTTATGTACTGAGATGCAGGAGGAACGGAGTCTGTCTCCAGCCACTGCCACGCAGGTTGCTTAATAAAACAAGTGTGCAAGACCTTTTGCAAGCTATCAAGATAAATAAAGGGAGCTGAGACCAGAGGAGAGGAAGGTGAAAATGCTGTCACTGGGACACCAGTACTGGACTGACTTCAGAGGCAAAGCTCTGCAAGAAGGCTTTTCTCCGTGATCTGTGCAAAACTAATGATACAGCTAAAAAGGGAGCTGAAATGTTTTATGAATCCCGAGATCAGAAGAAAGATAAGCAGATGTAAACATCTCAAATTCCTACAGAAGGGGGATTTTTTCCGAAGGTGATGAAGAGAAAAGAAGAATCTTACCAGAAGCACTGAAGCTGATTGGGGGTGAGACAGCAGCCCCAAGCCTCCTGAGATAGGGAGATTTATTTAGAAGACAACTACAGGCAAATATGTTTGGGTTTTTTTTTTTTTTTTTTCCCTTGCTTTTTGATGAGGAATACTGCTGGAATCAGCTCAAGGGAGAGAAGCTTTGATCATGCTTTCGTGGCACAAGAAAAGCTGCTTTGAGTTCTGGCACAAACCAAATCCCAGGAGGGACTGTGTGCATGATGTTCACACTGGTGTAGAGGCCCCTGTTCAGATGGTGGGACTGTCCAGGGCCAGTGACCATCCCCTCTTCACATCCCCCACTTAAAATAGATATGTATGGGCAATGGAGCACTGATATCCTCACAGTGCTGCTGATGAGCTGAGAACTTAAAGGTAGCTACCCAAATCTGAGCTGCTCCTTGCAGAAGAACCCAGAGCACCAGGGATTTCCAGCAGACAACCCATATGAACCACCTTAATACTCATTTTAAGATAAAAATAGCCGGGTGCCAAAGTTAGCATGGAGGGACCCAAGGTCAAACTGCAAATACCAGCTAGTGTTGTAAGGACCAAGACTTCCTCCAGCTGTGCTTCTGGGGCTGCATGGTAAAACCGCCGTGCAGATAAGGTGCTCAGTGTGGTGTGGGAAAGAAATATAAAGGGGGGTCAGATTCGTGGCAGGAGCTGTTAAACCTATTTCTGCTAAGCATGCCAACAAAAGTAGTAATATCAGCAAATGTCTAAGAAGAATATATCTTCTGTGTTGAGGTAGGTCATAAATGGGCTTCACCCAGGAAAATTGCCATTAGGATTTTTAAATAGTGACGTTAGATCTGCTAGAGAACAGAAAAGATCCATATCCAGTGCCACAGGAATGTGATAAAAGCAGTATGTGTGGATCTGGCTAGATTTGTCCTACACTCAGAAGCAAGCGTATTTGTCTAGATGGTGTTAATTGGACTAACATGAAAAAAATTCCAAAACTATCTTTTTTTTTTTTTTTTTTTTTTTTTTTTTTTTATTCAGGAAACAGTTTTTCTCTTAATGAAATTGCTTTTCAAGGAGTGACACCAATTTTCAATTACTGTTTTAATTCCCTGCTTCTATTTTTAAACAGAATGTTTGAGAAACAAAATTTCTTTGCAAAACTTTGAAAGTGCATTTAATAGAGTGTGTGGATTTTTCTTCTCTTTGGGTACTGAAAAACCTGTGAGAATGGAGAGAACTCAACTTCTCCTATGTGGATATTGGCTTCCCAGCTCATGCCATCTGATAAAATCAAAGCATTTCCAAGGGTAATTTTCTCTATGAAATCATGAATAATTAAAACCAAAGCTTTGCCTTTTAAAAATGAGAAGTTCTCCTCCACTTGCCCATGTTTTTGAACTGGACAAAGATCAAATGAGAGGGAAAAATCACAAACTGTGAGTGGGAAAATGAAATCTTCATGTGAAAGTAATCACAAAGAGATTTATTTTCTTCCTGAAAATACAGTAATTGAAAAAACAATCAGAGACCTCCTCTGTTTTCTTACGTGTTTCAGTATTATTTCCCTGAGTCATTTTGGAAGATTTTTCTCAGACTAGTGATGGAGACAAACCAAGTTAAATTTATTCCCAACACCTGTACAAGTGGCAAAGAGCTGTCGGTTCCATGATAGGCACCTGAGATAATTGCTACGGCATCTTTTCTTTTCAGCAAAAGCCTGCCCTGGCACTGCAGCTTTCGTCATTAAAGCACATCTATTTCCCCCAGTGTGATTAAACCCCTGGAAGGGTGGCCCGAGTGGAAGCCGTGCAGCAGACCCGTGGCCGGGCGGCACAGGCAGCTCCGGGCGCACCCCGCACCCTTCCATCCGGCGCTCGAGCCGGCTGGGCTAGACCACAAACTTCTTCCTCCTCACCCTCACACGACACCCCGTTGTGTCGCTGGTCGCAGGCTCGACTTGCACCGTGGAGGTGTGAGAAGAGAAGAAAGCGTGGACGCGGCAGGGAGTCCAAGGAACGCAGCCTCGCAGGTGCTGGGGGCTCATCCCCCAGCTGGCTCTACCCTCTGCCTCCAAAATCAGCTCTTCCACACGTAACCTGCTGCGTTTCCAACAGCTGCTCAGACCCGCCGTGTCCCCGCGGCTTTACCCTTCAAAGCACCCAGGCCTTGCACTTGGCTGCCGCCTTTGTTCTCTCTTCATCTCCCCTTTACCGTCTACCGCTCCCGTTTGTAGCCAGACAGCACTTCCAGCCCAACAATTAACAGTTGCAATTAAGAGTTGCACAGGTAGGTGTTTCCCCTCTGAAGGGACCTGATGTTTTTCCATGCTGAGCATGAGAGAGATTCCCACCGAGGGAGCTAATTTGCGCTGCTTAGTAAATGCAGCTAAATATTGTCCTTGCAGTAATCTGGCTAGTTAAGACTAAAAAGTTGCAAAGTATTAAGTCAGGTTTTTTCATCTTTTTACTGACAATCCCAAATTCCTGTCAAAAACTAAAGTACATGAGTTTTAAGTGATTGTTGTAGTCTGTGCTCTTCAGAGCTGCTAAGCAGTTTAGAAAGCCAGGTAAACAATGAGGAAAAGCAGTAGTTACCCAGCAAAGAATTTTTGTCCCCCATCTATTTTAAGGAAAGTGTTGCTACTTGAAAGGTAGGATATTAGGGTTGTCCACAGAATACAGCCACAAAAGTAATACTGCTGTGTAGATGGTGCATCAAAATGTTTCTGTTGAGCTCTCAAATCCTTTAGTGAATGATAAAATGGTAGAATCTGGGAAATAATGGGAAAAGAGGATCTGGGCCTGAATGGAAAAAAAATGTCTGCAGAAATCAAAACAAACAACCAGTGACACGGAATATTTTCACTGACTTTTAGCTCCTGAATTCAGACATGCTGCTGGTGTCCAGAAATAGCATTTTATGTCTTGTGCAGTGAATGCCAGTATGAAATTAACAGTGAAAACATGTATTTTACAAATAAGACTGTGTCTCGGAATCTGCAGGGGAAAATATGTTTAGATCCTACTCTGCTTGTTGCTAAAAGTGATCTAATGTTGCAAGCGAAACAAGAAAAGCCTCCAACAATGTCTGTCTGGTGATGAGAAATGATTAATATAATCCCTGCTGGAATAGCTTCGTAGGCATCCCCAGGACAGCTGGATGGATTGTACACTATACAGAGATGCAGCACTGTGCAAATAAAACAATGAAGAAATAAGGAAGTGTTATTGATGGAGATTATTTCTCCCCTTACTTGATCATAACAGTTTTATATCTGTATAAAAATGAATTCTAGTTTGTAATGTGGTCTCTGGGAGTTGTATTTATTCTGTATATTGGTTTCAGGAACTTATTACTTTGCATAAATTATTCATGTGAATTAGACATGCTTATGATACTCACATTATTTGTGTTTGGAGGGATGGGTAGCAGAAAGACACCGTAATACTTCTCTTTTGGGGGAGAAAAAGCACTTGGAAATCGTAGGACATGAGAAAATCCTAGTGTGAATGGCATTGCACCGCGTACCCTGCACACCACAAAATACTCCGGGCCACACAAACCGCGAGGGTGTTGGGGCATCTTCACCACACATGGCAGAGCACAGGGCAAAGCCTCCCTGTGCCGGCACTCGTGGAGCTCCACGGGGCTCCACGGGGCACAGCAAGGGCCCTCGGAGCAGCAAAGGGAGTAGCTCCCCCCTAGCAGAGCACAAGGTTTAACCCATGGCCTTTAAACGTGGAGGATTCTGTGTAGATACAGCATTTAGGTGAAGATTTAACATCTTGCTGGAGCATCTGTTCTTCTCTAGCCATAAAAAAGGGGCTGGATGGCTATTGCTCTGTGATCAGCAGGAGATCAGAAAAGATCAGCATAACAGTCCCCTCTGGTTATGAATTTCTAACAGGGAAGTACAACCACTTCATTCACTGGTCTCCACTGGCAAATACCAGGCAGGAGGAGGCCATAAGATGAGGAACAAACTGCTGGGATTGTGCCTATAGCTGCTGCTTGACCCACAGTTCACCCATCAGGGGCACATGTTGGGTTCCTGGCCTTGACTCCGGGGTCTTTTGCAAACCAATTAGTTTCTATTTCCCTGTTTGCAGTTGGTATTTGTATTAGAAGCGTATTTCTCGCCTAATGTGATTGAATTTTGATTGAAATACTAATCAAGTTTCGTTCTGATCACAAAAGGTGGATTTGGCTGTGCTGGACCCCAGGCAGCTGGAGGGGCTGCCCTGCTGCTGCATCCTTCACCCTGCATGCTTTTTCATTCCCAGGGCTGTTGTTTCTGCACAAGCCTTCCCCAAAGTACCTGCTGTATTGTTGCCTTTTGATAACTCAAGAGACCTGGCTGACGAGCACTTTTTTGGGGAGTTCTTGGAACCGCTGGGGTGTTTTTCTGTCCATCTGAGCCACTTGTCTGTCCCATTGCAGCTGGGACTTCATTGATCATACCCCAACGGTGACGCACTCGGCAAACTGCAAAATGTTTTTGCTGCACAGACTGTCTTAGTATCTCATTCGAAGCAAAGCTAGAAATTCTTCTGGTGCATCTTTCTGTGGCTGCTGGACATATTTTCTGTACAGTGTCCAAATCTCACACCTGCACACTTTTGTGGTACACACAACAGCCCTGCCCACCCTGGTTGGGGTGAAGAGCAGAGAAAGCCCTCTCTGAGGCTTTGATAACTTTATTATAGGAAGAGTGTAGCTCTCCGTGAGCATCTCAGGTACCAGACTGCAGCACTGGGGGCTGGGTGTAAATTTTTATCTGTCAAGTGGCTCAGTGCTCCTCCAGAAGCCTGGGAAGCAGTGATGATCTTAAGGTCCTTTCCAACCTGAATGATTCTATGAGTAAACTGGCTGGGTGCTCTGTGACTTGCTCTTCTCCACTGACAAGGGAAGAACTGAGTACGCTGGCCAAAGCCATGCTTCACTGCTGATGGAAAACACAAGGGCAGCAGAGGGAAGAACTGTATTATGCAGTAACTAGCAGCTTCTTTCTCAAAGCACACAAGAATCACTTAAAATCTTCCTTTCCTCTTGATGAGGAAGCTGGTAAGGAAGTCACTTGCTTCCCCCATGGAGTGGTGTCATCCCACATGGCAAATCTTTGACCATGTCCGGTAGCAAACCACCACCCAGGCTGCACAGCCCCATCAGTGAGCTGCCCACCACCCTCTCCTCCTAGCCGTGGGAGTCTGTCTACAGCCCCAAACCATTCCATGTCTTCACAGCTGAGCTGGAATGAGCTGCAGTAGTCTTAAAAAACTGGAGACATGCCAGGTCAGTTATAAAGGGCCAATCCCATAAGGCAGGCTCAAGTGAAGGATATGCATCTTAACCCATCGGACGCAAGGGCTTAAATCAAGGCACAGACAGCTCAGCTCATACTTGTGATATGAGAAATGGTAAAGCCATGACCCCACAAACGACTTGGAAATCATTTGAGATAACCACCTAATGGAAGCTGCCTCTAAGATGCGGAAACTAGGATGGCATACATGAGCCAGAAATTAATTCATAGGGAAATGCTAACTGGATAGAAAGAGGTGGTGTGATTTCTGCATACAATATTAGGCAGAGCAGGATAAACCATTGGATCTATATCTGATATCCACATTGTTAAAATATGTTGTCAAGCTGGAAAAGGTAGACAAAGACTTGCAGAGATGAGTCAAGGTTTGGAAAACCTTAACAAACAGAAGGAGCTCCATCTTGCAGTTTATTAAAGTGAAGTTCACGAATAATAGTCACAACATAAAAATCCACCCATAGGGTCCAGATTACTGATAGCAAAGCAGTGTTTAATTTTGCAGATAAGGGCAGATCAAGATCCAGTGGTAGGAAATTGCAGGCATGGAAGACTGCAGCTGAAAATGACGCACGGGCTGCAATTTATGATAATGTTAGCTATTCAAGAAGTGCTGGACTTTTTGCTAGAATCACTAAAAAATTAGACACACTGAAGCTGTGCACTGTGGGGTCCAGGTTGGAAGGGCTGATCTTGCATAGATATACAGACACCTGTGGCTGCACAAAGTCCAAAGCAGCAGATTTTTTAGGCAGCAGTCTGAGATAGCATTTTAGGACTGAAATATAGGATGTGTGCTACAGTATTACACCCAGGGGCAAGTCCAACACCCACTTTTTCTTGGGTGTTGCCTTATTGGACCCTAATCCTCCAGTTTGCTCAAGGAAGGAGGAAATTCTGTCATAAATTCACATTTCAGGCAGAAATAGCAAGGTCAAGCTATGTGGGATGTCAGGCTGGCCTATACAGGTAGGCTTCTCTTACTCTGAATCCCAGATATTCTCTGCTCACTGGGTGCAGGCTGATGTACATCATTTCACAAACCATGAGAAATTAGTTCCTGATCCTATGTATAAAAGTCAAGGGCAAATGAAGAACAAGATTGCTTTCCAAGAGGTAAGTTGCTTCCACAGATTGTCCCTGTCCATGGAGAAGGAAATTTCACCAAATGTAACAAGGGACAAAGTGGAAACCACAATGTAGATCAACCCAAGAATGACCAGTAAACAAGAAAACACACTTCCCATGCTTCCTGCCTGGCATCTACATCCCTGATCATCACTTTGCAAGTGATAGGTGGCTTAAACAGACACAGTGCATCCTCTGTGCTGTCTGCAACTGTGAACCTTCTTGCATGAAGGAGAGCTGTAAGCTTTTCTAGAAAGAAGATGGGAACCTGCAGCTAACAGCCTTGGAAATCATTTTTCCTTTACTATGCTGAACTTGCAATGCATTTGCTTCCTGTTTTCTGAATTTCTCTCATTTACGTGCACTCATTTACTAAGAGGAATAGTAGAAATAAGAATAGAGCTGTCTTCCAGTGCATATGCTAAAAAAATCACCAGCACATCTCTAAGAAGCTGCAAATATTTAATCATCGACAGCTTTGGCCCAGAATCAGTCATTATTAAATCACCTCTGTAATAAGTCTAATTGGGAACAGCCCTTGATAGAGATGCTGGACTCTCATTCAGCTCATGCCTAGTCTGAGGGTTACACTCACTTTCCTAGAAACATCAATGATGGCTGTGACGTGTGGTTTTGCTTGCATTTCATTTTTCATCACTAACCTCCGCATCAAAGCACACTTTCCCATGAATCTCCAAGCCACGTGCATTCTCTGAATCACAGCCCCATCCCTCCCTCACTGCTCCAGGGAAAGGAGCTCAAGAAATAATTAACTTTACTGCTTCCTGTAAAATCACTTGTTTTTCTGGGCCCTGGAAGGCAGGAGCTGGCAACATTGAGCGTATGTTAGTGACGGCTCAGATCTTTCACCTCCTTCTGCTGTTTTTGCAAATGGAGGGCAAGACTGCCTTGTCTGATTGTCACAAGAAGAGATATGCAAGTAATTGTTTTCTTGATTTGGCCAGTGATCCAGAAAAAAATAATTGCTTGAGGTTGACCTAAGCCCACAACTTTGCAGAGTTTTTGGTAAAGTGAAACAGCTCATATTGGGTTAAAATGCCAAATAAAACACTCCCTCTGACAAGAAATGAATTGTTTTATCTTGGGGGAGTTGTTTTAAACCTGATTTACAGGAGGGCGGTGTTTTACTCCATAGCTGCTCACCTGGCTTGTGTTGGAGCTAGGATGGGAACCCAGCACTCCTGTGACTCAAGAGAGTGGATGGACACAACCTACACTGGGCTATGGGGCAAGAAGGACAGGCTCTTATCCTCCTGAACTTGTCCAATTTGCTGAGCCATTAATCGTGTGAGACAGAGTGCTCCCTCCTGGTGTACGGACATGTGTCATAGTGATTGGGACCCTGGCAGGATTCATCTGCTCGAACACTGATGCAGAGTAGAGATGTCTCCATCTGAGTAATCATCTAGAGTCCCATTATGGTCATCAGTGAGAAATCATCCCTGCCAGAAAGCCATCAATCTTGTTATCAGGGAGATATCTAAGTAGGCAAAAGCAGTGACTTGCATGCCGAAACCTGTATTTTTTTCTCTATCTCGGCTGCATGCACCTAGACTACAGAAGTATAAATTTGGGTTGATAAATTTCTCCTTTCCTGGTTCCTCCCCTAATCTCCAGCTTTACTCCTGAAACACTGGGTGCAGGACTGAAGGAGCACTGGTGAACGCCCAGGGGGTGAGGTGTGAGGTTCACCCCCACGCATACCTGGGTACTGCACTACCGAGCACAGGCAGTACCTCTTCCAGCTT